ACGAACGTGTTCAATTTTAAAGTGTGACATGTAAGGTATTTACTTGGTGTAACATCATCTTTCATATTTTTAAAAAATTTAGTTATATGTTCTGCTTTTTTTAATTCATTAAATGTATTTATTTTTTGTTAATTATGTTTGAATAACCGATGCAAACATTAAAAATGGCAGTGACGCCATGTTATGCTCTAGTGCCTCTGCTAAAAAATATACATAATGTTTGGGTGTTCTAAGTAATTTTCTAGCAAAGAAATGCTGATTTTTACATGTAAACAAAAAGAGTCAGATGATATGCAGACTCACAATATTAAAAATGTGTTAATGCAGTCTACCATTGCTGCTGGTGTACAAAACCTGCAATAGTGTACCAAAGTGACAATGCCCCTGTTGAGCTTGTAGCAAGCTTGCTAAGTCAGAGAGGATGGTAAGGAATAAGGCTGATAGCAACACTTCGGGAGAGCATCAAGCTAATGTGTCAGTTGGGTTGAGGCTTTCTCCTGGAAGTGACTTTAAGAAATGCATCCTGCAGACTTCAGTAAATGAGTCCCTCCACATAGTCAGCCACATGAGGATTTTAAGCATGGATTTGGGGTTCCCAATTATGATAGATATGTTGGCCAGAATCTGTAAACAATTGAACATTCAACTATATATACAGTACTTCCGTGTCTCCACCTGTGACAGATGGAATGGTACTACGGAGTACCAATAGTTGGAGCTATGTGTTACAGGCTGTACTAAAGTGGACAACGCTGGATGGGATTGAACAGTTTGGCACCATGATTATTAATGATATTGAAACGGTCTCACAGTCTACTGTTGGATTGCTTCCAGATAATTTTGTGTATGGAGGGTATCCCAGTGAACTACCAGACAAATTTAGGGTATCAAAGATCAGAGACACCTCTCTGTGCAACAGTGTGATGGAGAGAATTTTGACTAATAAAGTCTGTATTACTGCTGACCAGCTTATAGGCAAGAGCATTCTTGCTGCAGTAGTATATAACCCTCGCAAGAAGGAAGAAGTGAGGAACGATAAGAGACTGGAAGAAATCTGTCCATAACCCAGTAAAGGGTTAAAGAGTCGTTGCAAAGTAAAGAGGTAATGGTAAAAATGCACAGGTGTGAGTAAAAAGATTGGAGTTATCAGCTCTAAAGTACCGTATGTTTTTGTGGTAAACCTGATAATGCCCCAGAAATACAGGAAGAAATCATAAATGTTGAATGGGAAGACTGGAAAGTTGTGCCGGAAATGTTTTTCACCCTGTAATGGTCTAGATAGAGACCTGGTTGCCTATAGAGACATTGTCAGGGCATTTGCCTGCAAAGTATCTGATGACAGATGTGTTGTTGTGTCGTGAAATTTCCAAAGGGGGATTATCACTTTTCTGGGTCTTTTCCCTTTGCAGTCACTGGCCTGTGGAAAGCTGAGTCTGAAAAAAAAAAATGGGTGTCATTTCTGATAATGGCGAAAATAAAAATGCTTGGCTGATCTTAGACAACCTACGATTCAGTCGGGAATGACAGTAGGGGCTGACAGTTGTAGTGAGCTGGACAATAGCTCCCTAGTAGAGGCAGAGATAGAGGCTCCTGGTGATAAGTTTGGGGAAGGATGTCCCCAATTTCTAAAACTGCAGGATACAAAGATTGAGTCTTTTAGTTCAGAGGCTGAGGAAGTTAGTCTACAGCTCAATAAGTTGGCACGAAAAAAGAGTAGTGAACCATTTAAAGTGATACTAAACCCAGAACCCTGCATTCACTCTATCTAGTCTCCCACTCCCATCTTTGCAAGAGTGATATCTAACTATTTTAATCAGGGTCACACCAGCCCTAATTTAGTTACGAAGCCTGGTATCTTAGTGTGTGAGGGTGATTCTTACACTATGATATAGTCTGGGACGCACTACCAGCTATCCAGTCTTTATGGAGTCTAGCAGTTACACTACTTCGCAAGGGTAGTCTAAGCTTCAGGTGTCTGGGACAAGTAAACTTACATAGCTCATCTTCAGGTGTTTTCTGTATGCCAAAACTTTATCCTTTATTTAGCTCAATGGGGATCATGTCTTTAAAGTGATACTAAACCCAGGACCCTGTATTCACTATATCTGGTCTTCCACAGTACACACAACATGGAAATGCAATTATTTTAGTAAATATAAGCTGCTAAATACCTTTTCTCCTTACCAGTTAGAGCAGTCTTGTGACTTCAGCAGAGCACTGGTTAAAGCTTGTAGGAGGAGTTTTCTTTCTAGGAGGACGTGAAACCTCTGACCCTCTGTCTGGACAGTGCTGATTGGCCCTGTGCTGATCACATGCACCCTCTCAAGGAAAAAAAATCCTCTCTAGCAATACACACTGACTGAGCATGTGCATGTGACCACGGGTTCAGTGTGTATCAGGTGGTCATTTCAACAAGAGGAGTGGCAGAGAAGAAAGGCTCAAACAGCCTTTTTACACAATGCAGTGGATTAACCCCTTAGGTTCCACAGTGAGTATAACAAGCATGCTTTACTGCATATACAGACAAATTTTACTGTTGTGGGTTTAGTAATACTTCAAGAATGCAATTCATGAAATGTCTCAAAAAGCACTGGGCATCTTCCTCTCTCAGTATTGCCAGTGGCAATGGACAAAAAAATGTGTGGTTCCCAAAGATAAGAGCCCAAACATACTTCTAATAAAGTGCATAGCCCTCTTTTTTTATATTTTGGGGGGGGGGGGGGGTGTATGACAAAAGGCCCTCCAGAAACAGGATATTGCTCTAAACCCATAGGTAAATAAGAGAACCAGAACCTTCACTAAGTGGAAGAGTGGGTTTGATAATAAAGTTGGAAGTGTCTCCATCCTGGTCAGGGCCTCTGTGAACAGTGGGGATTTCCTTCCTGGGAAATTACCCAGTTAATCTAATCAAAGTAATTGGGAACAGAGGAATTACTGAAACCAGCATATAACGTTAAACTCTTTCGCAAGTTCACCTACTATCATACAGCAAGATGACCATTACACATGCATATTGTGTCACAGACCGAACTTTCTGGTACAGTGCATGTGAGATAACAACAAGGGAACAGATATACTTCTGTCACCAGTTATTAAATATATACATTTACACCCAGAAGCAATGGGCAACTATAGTAAACTAAAACATATGAACACTTGTCTAATAACCCCTATTTCTACTACTACTTGAGATAGGAGTATTTCTTCCATGAGGACATATGGTCTCAGCGCCTCTTTCTCTCTCTCCTGACTTCCTCTTTTTGGGGTTTTCAAGCCAGCCTCCCAGAGACAGAAAGTGCTGATACATAATTAGACTGTACATTACTCTGTGATAGCTAGGTGATTCACAAATACAAACAGCAGCTCTGTAAAAGCGTTTAAAGTGTTACTAAACCCACAACAGTAAAATCACCCTGTATATGCAGTAAAGCATGCTTGTTATACTCACTGTAGAACCTAAGGGGTTAATCCTCTGCATTGTGTAAAAAGGCTGTTTGATCCTTTCTTCTCTGTCCCTCCTGTTGTTGAAATGACCACCTGATACAGACGAAATCCATAGTCACATGCACATGCTCAGTTTGGTGTGTATTGCTATAGAGGGGTTTTTTTTTCTTGGGAGAGTGCATATGATCAGCACAGAGCCAATCAGCACTGTCCAGACAGAGGGTCAGAGGTTTCACATCCTCCTAGAGCAGAAAGAAAACTCCTCCTACAAGCTTTAACCAGTACTCTGCTGAAGTCACAAGACTGCTCTAACTGCTGATGAGAAAAGGTATTTAGTAGTTTATATTTACTAAAATATTTGCATTTCCATGTTGTGTGTACTGTGGGAGATCAGATAGAGTGAATGCAGGGTCCTGGGTTTAGTATCACTTTAACCACTTCCTGTCCGGACACTTTTACCCCCGTCCTGTCCAGGGCAATTTTCAGCTTTCAGTGCTATCACAGTTTGAAGGACAATTGCGCGGTCATGCAACACTGTACCCATATGAATTTTTTACCATTTGTTTTAGACAGATAAAGCTTTATTTTGGTGGTATTTATTCACCGCTGGGATTTTTATTTTTTTTGCTATGTAAATGAAAATGTCCAAAGATTTTGAAAAAAAGTGTTTTTTTTCTTATAAAATTTAGCAAATAAATAATATTTCATCATAAATCTTGGCCAAAATTTATTCCGTTATCTTTTTAGTAAAAAAATAAGCCAAATTAGTTTATAACCAAAAATTATAAACATTTTTTTTTACATTTTTACTTTATTTTTTTATATTATTATTTATGTTTTTTTTTTTGTTTTTTTTTTACATACTGTCACCCTAGCAGTACAGTGTCACCATGGTGACACTGTACTACTTGTGGGGGGGTGATGGAAATTTATTTTTTTTTACACTGATTGCTTTTACACCCATATAGGATGTAAAAGCAATCATTTCTTTTTCTCTCTGTCTGCATTCTTGCAACCATTGAGAACTACTGAGTGAGCTGTGATTGGTCACAGCTTGTCACATGGTACAAGGCTGTTGTGAATAGCCTTGTACCATGTGACCTCTGTGAACATTGACAGAATTCACAAGTAGTAAACAATGATGTCAGGAAGTGACATCTTGTTTACTACTATTCATGTGATCACTGATTGGCCAATCAGTGATCACATGATCAGGACCTTGTACAGAGGTCCCATCCGACGATCGGTGTTTCATTGTGTCTAGAGGACACAGCGGGCACTGGAGCACCAGGGAGCGCGCACAAGCAGGGTGCGGGAAGGCCGTTTATAAACGGCCACCAAACCCTGCAGTGCCACCGTTCAGCCGTTTATATACAACGGCTGGACGGGATGTGGTTAAAGTCATGATCCCCATTGAGCTTAATAAAGGATAAAGGTTTGGCATACAGAAAACACCTGAAGATGAGCTTTGTAAGTTTACTTGTCCCAGACACCTGAAGCCTAGACTACCCTTGCGAAGTAGTGTAACCAGGGATGGACTGACAATTTGGAAATACGGGCACTGCCAGAGGGCCCGGGGTCAGTAGGGGGCCCCATGAGATGCCCCTGGTACCTTTTACATAGGCTCTTTTGAGTTTGGGCAAGGACACAGGGGCCCCATGATCCCCTATTGCCCGGGGGCCCCATGAGTTGTCAGTCCACCTCTGAGTGTAACTGCTAGACTCCATAAAGACTGGATAGCTGGAAGTGCTTCCCAGACTCTATCATAGTCACCCTCACACACCAAGAGATACCAGGATTTGTAAATTTGGGCTGGTGTGACCCTGATTAAAATACTCAGATATCACTCTTGCAAAGATACTATTAATAAGTCTTTGAAGTGTCCTTTAGGCCTTTGTGCCAGAATGGTGACAGGCAAGTACAGAATTTACCTCTGGTTGCAAACTGGAGAGTCCCTTTTAAAGGCATTTTGATCAGTGTTGAGAGCAGAGGTCCCTCCCAACTTGAAAAAAGGAGAAGAAATGATCTTGGTGAGAAGCCATATAAGTCCTGTAGTGGGCAACATTTAGTCAGAAAGCGACTAGGAAAGGAGTAGACAACCTCAGCGTTGCAGCTTTGGTGAAACTACATATCCCATCATGACGCAGCCTTTGAAAGGCATGCCTATGGCTGTCAAAGTCTTGTACTGTCTCATGGGATTAGTTTGTGTGTTTTGACCCCTGAGTTGAAAGAGAAGGGAGAGATATTGACTGACAGATGATTTGTCACTGTCTTAAGAGGCAGTTAATGACTGGTTCGGTTAGGTGGGTGTTGACTCAGGGAATCAGGTTAGCCAGTGAATGCTCCTCCCATCCCAGAGGAGTCATGCTGCAGGAAGCAATGATTGTGGGAGCATGTGTCCAGGCCTATTGCAAGGAGCATGTGTCCAGGTCTGATACAAGGAGCATATGTTCTGGCCTAATATAAGGAGCATGTGTCAGGTCTGATACAAGGAGCATGTGCCCAGGTCTGATGCAAACAGCATGTGTCCAGGCCTGACACAAGGAGCATGTGTCCAGGCCTGATACAAGGAGCATGTGTCCAGGTCTGATACAAGGAGCATGTGTTCAGGCCTGATACAAGGAGCATGTGTCCAGGTCTGACACAAAGAGCATGTGTCCAGGTCTGACACAAAGAGCATGTGTCCAGGTCTGATGCAAGCAGCATGTGTCCAGGCCTGATACAAGGAGCATGTGTCCAGGTCTGATGCAAGCAGCATGTGTCCAGGTCTGATGCAAGCAGCATGTGTCCAGGTCTGATGCATAGCAAGGCATGTGTCCATGTGTCTGATACAAGGAGCATGTGTCCCAGGTCTGATGCAAGCAGCATGTGTCCAGGCCTGATACAAGGAGCATGTGTCCAGGCCTGTAGCAAGGAGCATGTGTACAGGCCTGATACAAGGAGCATGTGTCCAGGCCTGATACAAGGAGCATGTGTCCAGGCCTGATGCAAGGAGCATGTGTACAGGCCTGATAAAAGGAGCATGTGTCCAGACCTGAGGTACAAGGAGCATGTGTCCAGGCCTGATGCAAGAAGCATGTGTCCAGGCCTGATGAAAGGAGCATGTGTCCAGGCCTGATACAAGGAGCATATGTCCAGGCCTGATGCAAGGAGCATGTGTCCAGGCCTGATGCAAGGAGCATGTGTCCAGGCCTGATGCAAGGAGCATGTGTCCAGGCCTGATGCAAGGAGCATGTGTCCAGGCCTGATGCAAGGAGCATGTGTCCAGGCTTGATGCAAGAAGCATGTGCCCAGGCCTGATGCAAGGAGCATGTGTCCAGGCCTGATGCAAGAAGCATGTGTCCAGACCTGATGCAAGGAGCATGTGTCCAGGCCTGATAAAAGGAGCATGTGTCCAGGTCTGATACAAGGAGCATGTGTCCAGGCCTGACTGAATGGTGCTTTGACCAGACAGTGTCTTAAGAGGCAGTTAATGACTGGTTCGGTTAGGTGGGTGTTGAATCATAAAAGGGAATCAGGTTATCCAGTGAATGCTCCTCCCATCCCAGAGGAGTCATGCTGCAGGAAGCAATGTTTGTGGGAGCATGTGTCCAGGCCTAATGCAAGGAGCATGTGTCTAGGCCTGATGCAAGGAGCAGGGGCCGAGGAACGGACAGGCAGGCCTAACAATGTAACGCACTGGCTGACGACAACCACTACCCACAGACCGAAGTCCCTCGGGGGCGGAGTCTAAGTCCCAGGCTGCCCTTCACCAGGGCCCCTGATGGTGGGGATGGACTTGACACAGCCAGGAACCAGGTCGCGGCCCCCGAGACACCTCAGCTGCGGCAATGGCCGCGCCGCCAATGGCGTGTAGCTGGTGGAAGAGACAAAAGAGTAGTCAGACAAGCCGGGTCAACAACAACAGGACAAAACAGTACAGGACAGCAGACGAGAATCACAGGTCACGAGCCGGGTTCAGCAACAGAGGGTCAGATCAAGGGAGAATACAAAGAATAGTCAAGTCACAAGCCGAATCAGATACCAGGAGAGTCACGAGAGTCAGAACAGAGTAATAGCAACACAAAGACACAAGACACAAGTGCAAAGAGCATGTGCGGGCCACAGGCTTATATGTCATCAGCCACACCCCTCTGGGGGATGGACCACAGAGACCTGAAGGCATAAAAGGATTCCCATCATGCACAGCAGAATCCAAGATGGACGCCAGCACATGGAGTAACATAACCTCAGGGAAAAGGTAGGACCTTGACAGTGTCCAGGCCTGATACAAGGAGCATGTGCCCAGGTCTGATACAAGGAGCATGTGTCCAGGCCTGATACAAGGAGCATGTGTCCAGGTCTGATACAAGGAGCATGTGTCCAGGTCTGATACAAGGAGAATGTGTCCAGGCCTGATACAAGGAGCATGTGTCCAGGTCATGTACAAGGAGCATGTGTACAGGCTGATAAAAGGAGCATGTGTCCAGACCTGGTACAAGGAGCATGTGTCCAGGCCTGATGCAAGAAGCATGTGTCCAGGCCTGATGAAAGGAGCATGCATGTGTCCCAGGCCTGATACAAGGAGCATATGTCCAGGCCTGATGCAAGGAGCATGTGTCCAGGCCTGATGCAAGGAGCATGTGTCCAGGCCTGATGCAAGGAGCATGTGTCCAGGCCTGATGCAAGGAGCATGTGTCCAGGCCTGATGCAAGGAGCATGTGTCCAGGCTTGATGCAAGAAGCATGTGCCCAGGCCTGATGCAAGGAGCATGTGTCCAGGCCTGATGCAAGAAGCATGTGTCCAGACCTGATGCAAGGAGCATGTGTCCAGGCCTGATAAAAGGAGCATGTGTCCAGGTCTGATACAAGGAGCATGTGTCCAGGCCTGACTGAATGGTGCTTTGACCAGACAGTGTCTTAAGAGGCAGTTAATGACTGGTTCGGTTAGGTGGGTGTTGAATCATAAAAGGGAATCAGGTTATCCAGTGAATGCTCCTCCCATCCCAGAGGAGTCATGCTGCAGGAAGCAATGTTTGTGGGAGCATGTGTCCAGGCCTAATGCAAGGAGCATGTGTCTAGGCCTGATGCAAGGAGCAGGGGCCGAGGAACGGACAGGCAGGCCTAACAATGTAACGCACTGGCTGACGACAAACCACTACCCACAGACCGAAGTCCCTCGGGGCGCGGAGTCTAAGTCCCAGGCTGCCCTTCACCAGGGCCCCTGATGGTGGGGATGGACTTGACACAGCCAGGAACAGGTCGCGGCCCCCGAGACACCTCAGCTGCGGCAATGGCCGCCGCCAATGGCGTGTAGCTGGTGGAAGAGACAAAAGAGTAGTCAGACAAGCCGGGTCAACAACAACAGGACAAAACAGTACAGGACAGCAGACGAGAATCACAGGTCACGAGCCGGGTTCAGCAACAGAGGGTCAGATCAAGGGAGAATACAAAGAATAGTCAAGTCACAAGCCGAATCAGATACCAGGAGAGTCACGAGAGTCAGAACAGAGTAATAGCAACACAAAGACACAAGACACAAGTGCAAAGAGCATGTGCGGGCCACAGGCTTATATGTCATCAGCCACACCCCTCTGGGGGATGGACCACAGAGACCTGAAGGCATAAAAGGATTCCCATCATGCACAGCAGAATCCAAGATGGACGCCAGCACATGGAGTAACATAACCTCAGGGAAAAGGTAGCACCTTGACAGTACCTCCTCCTCAAGGGCCCTCCCCTCCGCGGCTCAACAAAAGGTTTCTGAGGAAAGCGGGTATAAAAAGCGCGCGGAAGAGGGCAGGAGCATGGACATCCGCGGAAGGAACCCAGGAACGCTCCTCGGGACCATAACCGCGCCAATGAACCAGGAACTGTAATCAACCTCGCACCAATCGAGAGTCCAGGATCCGGCTCACCTCATACTCCTCATGACCGTCAACCCGGACAGGACGGGGCCGAGGCAGAGAGGTAGTGAAGCGATTGCAGATCAGAGGTTTCAACAGGGGGAAACATGAAAGATATTGGAGATCCGCATCCCAGACGGAAGGGCAAGGGCATAGGCCACCGGATTCACTTTGCGGAGAATGCGGAAAGGACTGACAAAACGGGGGAGCTAGTTTGGGTGTGGGCACCCGAAGATTGAGGTTGCGAGTAGACAACCACACACGATTGCCGACCTGGTATGAAGGAGCGGGCAACCGTCTGCGATCAGCCTGGAACTTCTGGCGCTGAGCTGAGTCCCTCAAGGCCCTCTGGATCTGCCCCCATGAAGAACGCAGGGCAGCAAGATGGTTCTCCACAGCCGGAATGTCCTGTGGTGAGAACCTCTCAGGTAATACCGCGGGTTGGAACCATAGCTGGCCATGAAAGGAGACATCCGGAGGAGGGAGTTGACCGCCGAGTTCCTGGCAAACTCTGCCCAAGGCAGGAGATCGGCCCAATCGTCCTGATGGTCTGAAATATAACACCGAAGGAATTGTTCTAAGGCCTGATTGGAACGCTCCGCAGCCCCATTGGACTGCGGGTGGTAGGCTGAAGAAAAGGAGAGACTAATACCCAACTGGGAGCAGAAGGCGCGCCAGAATCTGGACACGAACTGACTCCCGCGGTCCGAGACATCACCTTAGGCAACCCATGCAGGCGAAAAATCTCCCTGGAAAAGACCGTGGCCAGTTCTTGCGCTGTGGGTAATTTCCTGAGTGGAATGCAATGGCACATC